CTGTACATGGCAAATGTTACGGCGAAATACATGGCCAGGCTTCCCAGAACGAAGAAAGTGTTCACGGCCGTCCAGTAGGACATTTCCAGCCCCAGCTAGTGATAAAGAGAGAGGACAAAGACCCGAAAACGATCAGGACAGAAGAAACTCTGCTTACGATGGATAAACATAAGAATTTTACACGTTAAGAAGTGAAATCTGATCAAATATTCGACTCGAAACCCAAAAGAAATTTCCAAAATACCACGCGTGTGACGCCAAAGTCATAGAAGAATATTTATGAAATATAAAAATTAAATAAAAGTAAATATGTGTGATGCCGAAGTCATAGAAATATATATATAAAATATAAAAATTAAATAAAAGTAAATATGTATGACAACGAGGTCATAGAAAAATATATAGGATATAAGAATTAAATAAAAATAAATATGTATGACATGGAAGTCATAGAAAAATATTTATATAATATAGAAATGAAATAAAAATAAATATGGATGACTTCGAAGTCATACAAAAATATCTATAAGATATAAAAATTGTCATAAAAATAAATATTTATGACATAGAAATCATAGAAAAATATTTATACAACATAAAAATGAAATAAAAATAAATATGTATGACATAGAAATCATAGAAAAATATTTATAAAATATCAAAATCTAATAAAAATTAATAAACTAAGTTAGATTAATGTTCAGGTAGTAAACTCAGAGTAAGTTAGGGTACTTCCTATATCTCCGTCTCTGAGGTAAAGTGCCAATAAAAACCCATTTTATTGATTATTTCTTTATAATTTATTTCTTTTTACATCTCTCTTCTAGAAGTCATTTTTTTTATTGCTATGTGTAATTATCTGCAGTATTTATTAAGGAGTTATCGTAGGTTTTTGGAACCAATTCTAGGAATTACAGTGTATTCTGATGGGAATATTTGAACCAACATACCAATATTTTAACATACAAAGTCGGTCCTGGAACCAGTTAAACTCCTCTGTGGAGGTTTTACTGTATTCTGAATGAAGCCATGCCCTAAAAACCGGGAGTTTTCTCTCACCTGGATGCTGACTGCGAACAGCAGGCAGGTCTGAGTGAGGACTGATATTCATAGAAAAATAGCTATATAATGTAAAAATTAAATAAAAATAAATATGTATGACATGGAAGTCATAGAAAAATATTTATATAATATAGAAATGAAATAAAAATAAATATGGATGACTTCGAAGTCATACAAAAATATCTATAAGATATAAAAATTGTATAAAAATAAATATGTATGACATTTAAGTCATGGAAAAATATTTATATAATAAAAATGAAATAAAAAATAAATGTGTATGACATCAAAGTCATAGAAAAATATTAATATAATATAAAAATTAAATAAAAAATAAATGTGTATGACATCAAAGTCATAGAAAAATATTAATATAATATAAAAATTAAATAAAAATAAATATGTATGACATCGAAGTCATAGAAAAATATTAATATAATATAAAAATTAAATAAAAATAAATATGTGTAACGCCGAAGCCATAGAAAAATATTTATAAAATATAAAAATGAAATAAAAATGTATGACATCAAAGCATGATATTTTGAGCATGATATGTTAACTGAAACTAAAAATCTGTATTTTCTCTTCTTTCTGATGCACTTCTTGTTACTGTGCACTATTTTATTTTTATATTGTATCATGTTCAAATAAAGCTACATACAAAAGTCAGAAAAATATCTATCACCATAAAAACAGAGCGTTTTCTCTCACCTGGATGCTGACAGCGAATAGCAGGCAGGTCTGAGTGAGGAGGGCGAAGGACTGATATTCATAGAAAAATA